TACTACTACTACTACTACTACATCTTGCTTCACCTGCCGTTTCGACGGTTGAGCTGAGCTTGCCTCCAGCCCGCAGGCTACGCTGGGGGCTTCGCCGGAACGACATCTTGGCTACTCGCGGCTTCTATCGGATGCGTTGTTGCATACGTTGGCATTGTAGGCATCCGCAACCTCGAGTGAGTTACAGCTCGACTGACTACAGCACGTCTCATGCGGAAAGCCCGACGATTCGAACATAAATGCGCGAAACCGGTGACGCTGTCTCGCACAGCCGGAAAGTCGACTGATGTAATCTGCTGCTGCAACCTGGTCGCATGTCGTACTACCTTTCTCAGCCTGAGGCAGTGAACACCTACATGTAGCGGCCTAGCGACGTAGAGATGTGGACTCCGATGCTTTATTCTGTGAGACTACAAGGTGTCACCCCACCTGCCACATCAAGGCCCGTAAGGGCATCAATTCAAGCACTCATGCCCTGCAGCTGCCAAACAGTCAGCCGATCCAGACAAAACCAGCACAAAAACGTTCGTCTCATCCTTTCCCTTTGCCACGGCGCGGCGCTTCCTCGGAGTTGCTTTGAACTCACTGGCCGTGGCCGGTCTGCTCCTTCCTCGCTTCCGCCTCCTCGACTTGTTGGGCGCCGGCGACAGCGGCGCTGTCGCTTCTTCGGCCTCTTCGCCACTGCTGGGAAGCTCCTCCACGGGCACAGCGAGGCAAATTTCCCAGCGACTTGTCGGAGCCGAAGCCTGCAGCGGCTCGACATAGTGCGAGGTTTTCGGATCCCGAAGCACCAGTCGCAGCACATTGTTCCGCAGAGGAAGCCGCAGCAGCACGGGGAGCGGAGCAGGAACGCCTCCTGGCCCAGCGAGGATCCCCGAGGCCTCCGCTGTCCTCAGGTGAGCAGTGTCTCCCTCGACGTAGCCGTCGGCACCCCCCATCGATCTCATCGATCTCCTCTTCCGGGACCTGGGCCCTGCGAGGCTTGCGACCTCGAAGCCGAGGATGACGTCCAGCTGAGGCCTCTGAGTACACCTGGGCCGTTGAAAGTCCAGGCCTGGCCGGAAACAGCGGATCTGCAGAGAAATGGCGGAGCCGGAGCTCCGCGTCACTCCCGTAAGGGCCTCTAAAAACTCCAGGAAGGTCTCTGAAGCCATGTAGCTCCCCACATCGGCCATGGCTCTGCCCAGGGGACATGCAGAAGCTTCGCCCAGGAGCAGGCAGCGCTGTACCCGCACGGGCCCCGCCTCCTGCCACGCCTCCAGCCGGGCATCGCCAATGGCAGCCGCGAGCTGTGTGGCCAGCCTCTCGTTTAGGAAGCCTGGGAGCTTGATGTGGCTCGTCTCCTCGAACTGCGCCCTCAAATCGGTCTGCCAGGCCGTGTCCAGAAACTTCTCGCAGATCCATTGGTTCAGAGCCCGGTGCTTCTGGTGGCAGCGGCGACCTCCGTTTACTGGACGCGGCACGATCAAGTCGTTCGCAAGGAATGGACTCGCCGCCTCTTCGGCAGAGTCTGATGCCAAGAGACCGTGGACCGCGAGCTGTGGCGCATCTTCGGTGAGAACGCGGGTGATGGCAGCACCCGTCCCAGCTGTATAAAGGAGCAGGCCCGGTTCCGGCACGAGTCTGGCAACCGGTTTTCCAGTCTCGGCGTAGAGCTCAAAGAGCCCGCCATCTCCCTCCTTCCACCAGTCCTCCGGAAGGAACAGGACGAAGGCGACCTCACCCCTAGCGTGCTCGCCGGCAAAGCACTGCGGAAGCACCTGCCCCTCAGGGGGAATGGCCACTAGTGCACATTTCTGGGAAGTCAACGCGCTACAGCCCGTGATGCTTTGCACCAAGCTCCGGAACTGCTGTGCCCGGAAAGTCTCGACTAACCGGTGCAGCACCGGAGATGGGCCAGCCTCCTCGAGTGGCAGGACGAGGGCCTGCGTGTGCGACGTCTCGATGGGCTGTAAGCCCTTGAGATCAGCGACCAGCTCGTCACGGAAACTGCAAAGCTCCTGCAGATTGAAAGGACTCAGCTGAACCCAGTGCCGTGTGCTCCACTGCTTCCTCAGCGCTTTCACCTTCAGCTGTGAGTCGATCGCCAGAGGCGACACATCCAAACCTTCTCCTTGGACCTCCTCACTTGGCTTGGTTGGGATGTTTGGTGGTTCCTGTGGCTCCAACGCCTCCGTCGCCTTCGTCGCTTCGGCAGCGCACCGTAGCCGGCGGGCCAGGGAATGGACAGCACGGGCTGCAGCCATCATCTCCTGCAGCCTCCGCAGCCCGTCAGGGCGACCCGCCTTCGTGGCCACAGAAAACACCTGGGCTAATTTTTGTTGGGTTGTAGGAAGGCTAAGGGCTTCCGCGATTGTAATGAAACAGCAGGGGGCCGGCCACGCCAAGCCGAGGTGCGATGTAGCTTTTGAAGGCCACGGCCTTCTCCCCAGCAATCCGTGGTTGAATGACCCCCTCTTGGGACTCTCGGAAATGGCTCTGGCCCACGGCTTCGGCAACCTGCTGAGCAAGCTCTTCGACCTCGTCAGGCGCCGAATGGTGTGCTCTCCGGTTTAGGGTTTAGGGGCGGTTAGGGCTTCGGGCTTAGGGGTTTAGAGTTTAGGGGTATTAGGGCTCACCCAAAACGAGGAGAAACGGCGCTCCTCGGCAGCAAAAGCCACCAGGGCTTCCTCCTCGTGGGCGCCCTCGTGGATCGAGTTACAGGAGGAAAGAGTCCTCACACCGGGAAGGACGTTCAGAGCCAGCATCAGGCTGCCGACGCAGGCATCCACGTCCAGGCCACAGGCTTTGGTGTACCTGAAACATCGGGGCCCTTACCCCCCAAAAAAATGGATCCACCTCGACCGACAGCAAGGCTCAAGGCCGCAACCCCTGACTCGCCACTACCAATATGCTTCTTGCACTTGAAGCTCTTTCTTGCACCGAGGAAAACATGCAAACGACAACCTGGCTGCTTCTTCTGCCACTGCTCACCGAGAGGACGGAGCTCGGCATAGGCCGCGAGCGCACGCTCCTGGGGCGTGAGCAACCTAGAGCTCAAAGCACGAAGCTTTCCCGAAACACGGACATGCAAGATATCCATAGTCTATAGCCTATGTACCGACCTGCAGACCGACCTACCCCCCTGCCTGACCATCTGTGTGGCTGTCACTGGGTTGCATTACGTTGCATAGCGTTAAATTGCACTGACTGAGTTGCCTAACATGGCTTAGCATGATATGACGTAACATGTCATCACGTACATCAGGTCTACGCTACATCGTGTGCATGTATGTGGCCAAATAGGTTGATAGATGCATGGATAGATAGATAAATACATAGGTAGGTAGGTAGGTAGGTAGGTAGGTAGGTAGGTAGGTAGGTAGATAGGTAGGTAGGTAGGTAGGGAGGGAGGGAGGGAGGGAGGGAGGGATAGATGGATAGATAGATAGATAGACAGATAGACAGGTAGACAGATGGATAGACATGGATAGACAGACAGATAGACAGATGGACAGGTAGACAGATGGATAGATGGACAGATAGACAGATGGACAGATAGATAGACAGATAGATAGATAGTTAGATAGATAGATGGATGGATAGATAGATAGATAGGTAGACAGACAGACAGACGGACGTTTAGACACACAAAGAGTAAACACATGAAAGAAACAAACAAGCGGATAGACAAATAGTTAGCATCACGTCCTCGAGCTGGCAAGCCTGGCGAAATCTTCGGCAGTACGCCTTCCAACCGTACCTGTCAGAGCACCAACACACAATGTTTACCACACTGCTTCCACCTCCCGAGGGTTCCACAACACACACTTGCCCCCGACATGCCCCCAAAAGCCCACGCAACAGGTTCAGAGTCTTGGATTTCAGGTTTGCGACCACCTCCCCCACCCCCTCCCTGCCTGGCTGGGTGCCTGTAGACCTCGTTCCAGGCCTGCGCCGTGCCATCCGCAGCGGCGAGCGCCAGCTCCATGCCGACAAGCGATGGTCGGAATGGGAACCAGTTGCAACAGACTCAGGCTTAGAGAGCTTTGGGCTTGCGGGTTTGGGTTTAAGAGATCGACTTCGAGGTCTGGGATGGCTTCAAAGCCCTTTCCCAACCACCCGGGTTGGGCTTTGGCCTGGAGTTAAAGTTCCAGAATTCAGGCACTCTCACCTTGCCCACAGCTCCCACCATTCCGATGCCAACAATACCCTTCTGCTATCCTTCGAAGAACCTTGTGGTAGCCTGAACAGGAAGCCTCATGGTAGTCTTATGGTCCTCAAAGACATGAGACATCCGGCCTTAATGAACGTGGTGCACCGTCTCAACAGCCTCTTAGAGTCTGGTCTGGATGCTAACACGGTGCCATTACGTCTTAATCTGCGCCGTTAAGGCTTGTCGGGCTTAGGATTCAGGCTTGTCTAGGAGTCTAGGGGTTTTGATGGGTGTTGGGTGAAGCGATCTCAAGGTGATGTATGGTGAAACCCCCAACTTACGATCTTCCTCCGAGGCATTTTCGACTCAGCTCAGAGCAAGGAGAAGAGCTGCCACAGACCTTGACAACACAACCAGGCACAGGCATCCAGCGCGCGTGTTGGGCGCGGGAACGGGAACAACCTACGACCCTAAGGCCTTGAACCTAGACTCTGCACTCCTACAGCCCCTACAGTACACCTGTATAAGAATCGTCACAGAAAAACCATCGTAGAACCCTGATGACTCTCAAGAGCGCCAAGAAGCGCAGCGAGCGCTTTGCTTGTCGCTTCGCCATGCAAGGCCCTGACGATGGCCGCACCGTCCTGGAAACCCAAGGAATCCGATCTTGGAAGTTTGTTGTCCGGTAGTTTTGAGCGGATGTAAAGGTGTGTTAAACTTCAAACTCCTCTTCTAGCGGTGGCATCGTAAGGATCCCTGAACAGGACTACTCCTTGACTAAAGGGCTGCGGAGTTTCTGGAGTGGTACAGGAGCTGAACTTTAGGGTTCTTGCTGAGCCGCTTAACAAGCAAGGGCCATCCGAGGGCTCGCTCGGCAGCCCACTTTCTTTGAAAAGGGGGGTCAGGACTGAACTCAGAAATGCAGGGCTAGGTGAAGCCCAAAGGGCCCGAATTTCCTGAACCATGCTACCCTGAGGTAAACAGGATAGTAACCCTTTAGCCCTGAACCCTAAATCGACAGCGTCCGTCGAAGGTGGAGCCATGGACGCAGGCGGAGGCGGAGCCATCGAAGCCGGCTCTTTCGCCGCTGGAGACATCGAGGCAAGGTCACCCCTGGACGGAGCCTTAGTTGCCGAGTCCATTGGAAGTTTTTCCGGGGTTTGGGATTTAAGGCTCGTGAACCCAAATCTCACGCGTTCAGCGTTATAGCAGGTTCTATCGGATCTCAACACTTTTACAGTCTATACGAAGTCCGATACTGAGGAGCCATCGAGGTGGTTTGCGAAGATGCCGAAGCTTTATGAGAAGACCGCACCTGGGACGAGAGGCCTACTAAAGCGTAGAGTCAGGGGTAGTTCGGGGAGTTCTTAGTTCAAGGAGTTTGCGGTCGTCCTCAAGCCTGCTAGTTAGGGTTGAGGGCTCAGGGGTTCGGTGAGCTTTGTGGAGTTGACGCGGCCTGGCTCGCATTAGATTTTGTTTATATGCGAGGTAGGATCCAGAATCTAGAAGGTGTGTTCGCCCTACTCAAGCATCGCACCTTGCAAGAATCCAACAGAATAAGGCAATGGAGTACGACGCAATGCTGCCACGGTTAAACCAAGTACAGCCGTGCTGTGTGGATCCGGCAGCCCTGTTCCGACAAACCAGAACATCCCCGAGACGCAGCTGAGGGAGCAAAGGTGTGGGGTGTCAGGCTGCAAGGTTTGCCGCTTCGGAGATAGGGAAGTGAAGATGAAGATCAAGCGGGTAGACGTGGCTTCAGGAAGTTGAGGGCTTGCACCTTCATGCGAGGCTTCGCATCCAAGCATCCGAAACTTTCGGCCGTGCACCCTAAGCTGTAGACACTAAACCCTAAATCGCGAACTTTAAACCCTGTTTGCTACTGATTGCAGGTCTGGCTGGAGTTGGGTCCAGTGGCAAACTTAAACCCTAAACCCCAAAACTGTAAACCTTAAACTGTAAACCCTAGACCCTGAACCGTAAACTGTAACTGTAACCCCAAGCCCATATTAAACTGTAGACCCTAAACCCTAAGCCCTAAACTGTAATTATTATTGGCAATTCCTAGTATTATCATTATCATTACTATTACGATCATCCCTGGCACCAGCCGCGAGTCCGACGATGCCACGGGCGGGTGGACAGGCGCGACGCGAGCGTGCACATTGACATCACAGATCGGCTGCCAAGCCTGGTTTAGGGTCTGGGGTTCAGGGCTCAGGATTTAGGGTTTGGGGTTCAGGGTTTCGGGATTGCGGGGGTTTTCCAGACGCTGCGAATAGCCCCTTTTTCAGAGTCCCGCATTGACAATCTCTGGTCGAATTCGAAGGAGATCCAGTTGGACTTGTCTCTGGGATCCGGATGCATACATCCAAGGCATGGTCGGCCATGCTTGGCCAATGAAGGCTTGGGCTGAAGGCTTGGGCTTGGGCTTGGGCATTGAGGTGCATGGCCTGCTGCCCACATTGCCCGACATGCCCCTCAGATCTGCGGTCAAAAGCCCCTAGACGCCGTGGTTGATTCGATGTCCTATCACCAAGCAGCTTCCACATCGTATATAAGCATCCGTATTGCTCTAGCAAAAACACAGCATACCGCAATCAGCAAGGCAATTCAGACATATCTTGATAAACTACGTCTGCACTGCTTGATTCCTACTCTTTCTCTGCTTGGCGTATAACCCAAACCCCCAGAAGACGGTGATAACGACTACTAACCCAAAGTCTTGACACCGATGATGATGACTGACTAAACTTAGTACAAGGTGTATGATCACAAGCACAGAACCATGACGAGACTAAAACCTACAATCGCTACTGACAACTGTTACTATAGCAAACCCTGAGAGCTGCAAACCTCATCACGAGGTCTGTGACTATAACAGCAACTGCAAAAGGAAGGGCAAACGACCAGAGCACTGACCGCAGCAACAACCATGACCCAACTCCACTCACCTGAACCCTAAGCCCTGAACATGAAACCCAAAACTCTGAACTGTGACGATCTCATTATTACTATTAACAACAGAATAAGAATGATAATACTTATTACTGTTGTTGTTCTTATTATTATTATAACTGGTGGGCCTCGCAGAGAGTCTTGATGTTCCCAGCGCAGCCTGAACCCACGGGCTGGCACCTGTGGCGATGCAGGGCGGGGGGCAGGGGGGTTTCGGGTTAAGGGTTCAGGGTTTAGGTTTTAGGGGGGCTAATTAAAATTGAGTGTACCCTACTTCAAGGCTCTCACTGTCTTCGAGTGGCGGGGAGGTTTTGGGGGGTTCAAGTGAGGTTTAAGGCTTAAGATGCGGGGTACCTGCTGCAAAAAAGAAACAAAGCGATAGTCAGAATGGATAACCAGAAAGTTCATAACCAGAAAGTCAATAACAATTATCACCCTAATCACGATGTTGCTGACACTCAGAGTCGTACCAGAACCAAGTAATGGTGTTACAGTACGGGGCTTACAAAAAGCCAGGCCTGAGCCCTACACCCTAAGCCCCACACCCTCAACCCTCTACTAAACCCTACACGCGATAGCCGGAGATGGCGCATTCGGCGGCTGCCCTCGTGGTCCGTCTCGTAAAAGACCTCGCTGTGACATTCCTGGGAAGGCGGAGCAGTGGATATCCCCTTAGGGATCCTTGAAGGGTTCCTTTCAGGGTTCCTTTAAGGGTTCCTCCAAGGGTTGATTCAAGGCTTCCTCTAAGGGAGCCCTTTCAAGGATCCTTGGTTACAAGTTGGGTCCAGGACGTAAGGTTTAGGTTGTGGGCCAAGGGGAGTCATAGAGCTCAAGAGGCAAGGTCTCTGAATAGGATGCTGCGCCGCACTTTTCTGCAGGATTTTTGGTGGGAGGGTTAAGGAATTCCTCACACGAAAGGGGGAGCCCAAAACCATCCTAAACCCCAAACCCTAGACCCTAAACCCTAAACCCTGAAACCCTAAATACTAAACCCTAAACCCTGCTAAACCCTGAAACCCTCTGAGACCTGACAGAACTTCGGAGACGAGACGTGGCTCTGGGGACTGGCTCTCGGGCCTCTGAGCTTTCAGAGGCTCAGGGCTTAGGGGCTTGGAGTTGAGAGCTTAGGGTCCTTAGGGTGGGTTTAGGGTTTAGGGTTTAGGGAGTCCCCTAATATCGGGGCCTTACCGTGGTGTTTAGAATACGGGTTTTGGGCTTTCTTGCGAGCAGCATGCAGAATAATAGAAAGGAGCCCAAAGATTGGTAATGGTAATTATTTCAAGCTCCTGTATTAAGCTTTCTGCTACGAGCTGCTCCAGCCGACATGTGCGTTTCCCCGCTCCCATGTGCCCTTGATGCAACACATCTCAAGCCTTATCTCTATGACAGATCCTTCCGCAGAGTTCTTAGAACAAGCAGAGAAGTCCTCAGCCAAGATCGGTCAAGAATTTCTGGTCTATTGACAAGGGCCCTCAATATCTTCACCTTAAACGGATGGTTCAATGAGCCCAGAACGGGGGACTAGCTCACCATTATCTCAGCACAGCGCTCGAACCTGAAAACATGGGAAGCGATGTGCCACAGGAATCACCTGCGGCCTAGAAGCACTGCAAGGATTCGGATTTTGGGGGCTTGGCGTGATGGGTGGAGTTTAGACATTCGGGTTTCAGAGGAAGGGGATTATGGGGAGCACAGAACCATTGGGTCGGGGTCGACGGCTGGACCATCCGAGCGTCCGCATGGCTAAGTTCGTGGCACGACTGGTTTCGACTCCTGCGGCAGGGTAGGGAGGGGCCACTCGCCGTGCCCGGGCAGAGTGGGTGGAGATGAAGGTTCAAAAGAGCCTACAAGACGCCAGTCACTAGACTTCTAGACACTATCAATTATACCCCAACATGCTATACCATAATCTACCAGAGTGTCTTGTAGTCTAAAAACCATGTTAGAAACCCTAAACCCTTACTGTAGTCGTCCTGGTGTTGATCTTGTCGCAGTACAGGAAGCAGCCCGAGACTGCAGATGGAGCTGGCGTGTCGCTGTCGTAGTGGAGCTTGACAACCGCCTCGCTGTGATGCGATACCTGACAGAGGGGCCACCACTCGTCGCACACCTCAGATCTATCGACTTCGCAGTGGTCTGCCTGTCGTCTGCAGACACATCGCTTTCCGTCACCGTCGGTCTCGAAGAACTGCCCCGAAGCACAAGATGTCAGGGAGAGGGCGGCGCAAGATGAATTCACGCTCCGGACGTCCGTCTTCTGACAGAGAGTGAAGCAGAACGGCGGCGGGGAGTCCTCGCTACCTGCGCCTGTGTGAGTTTCAGTCGGCTGACCCGTGGAAGTGGGTCTCGAAACGCTACTCGGACCTGCCGAGTGCTGCCTGGGCAAGGTGTGAGTCGACATCGTCGTTGTTTTTGCGAGAGTACTCGTCACTGTGGAGCCTTGGCTCGGGGAAAGAGCTGCGGTCTGGAGGATGGGCACCTTCTGACCATGAAAGGTCTCGACGCAAAGTGGCTGCCAAGCCGGGCAGAAGTTCGTTGAGTCCATTTCGCACCTTCCTTTCCGAGGCACACAGGGCCTGCGAAGCCCAGCATCGTCGGTCTCGAAGAACTGCGAACTGGCGCAGAGGCTCGGGCTCAAGCTTCGGCATGACAGACTCGTGACCGCCACATTCGTCTTGTAGCACAGGGATCTGCAGAGGGACACCGAGCTGTTGCTGACGGCGTCAAGCGGACTGTCTCTAGCACTGGCACTCGCGGGACAGCTGGACAGTGATGCTTCGCAGCTCTCTTGAAGCGATCTCTCACAAACTCCAGGGCTTCGGAAAGAGCACACCTTGCGCGTGCCGTTTGCATCGGTCTCGTAGAACTGCCTGCTGTCACACTCAGGCTGTGACAGGCTGGAGCAAGACGAGTCGAAGCTCTTCACGTCCGTCTTGAAGCAGAGTGCTTCGCACGCAGAGAGCGCTGGCAAGTGGGGGCCTCAGCGACATGCAGTATCTTTGCAATAGGAAGTCGAAATAAGGCCCTTCAGCTCTCTGAACTCACAAACTCCAACCCTAAACCCTGAATCCCAAACTCCAGAACCAAAAAGACGCGCCTGAGCTATTGCAGGGCCGCTCGGAGATGCACGCAGTCGTCCAGTCCTGGCGCTTGGTCCGCTACAGTCCGACAGCCTCCTCCAGACTCCCGCGCTGGCTGTGACGAGGTATCCACCTCCAATCTATCTCAAACCCTTCAGTCTCGACGCGCAACGGCACGGCGACACGAGTCCACTACGACTGGCTAGGGCCAGAGGGCTTGAATCCCGAACCCACACAGCACAAACCTCTGACCCCACTGAAACCCTCATCCCATACCTACATGCTTTTTAGTCCCCTCGGCCAACACTACAAAAGCCCCCTATCAACAAACCACATGTTGGGGGGGTACTCTCGATCCTTACAATAAGATCCTACGATGTAGGCTTTTTTGTACGGAACCCTCAAAACAAGAAAGAGAAACTCCAGTATCCCCGAACGTCGTCCCGGTCCTCGGAACACCCCCACCTCGGCTGCCATAGGCAGAGCCTCTTCTCCCCGTAGAGGCCCCTAGCCTGGCAAGGAGGCTCTTCAAGCTTTTCGGACCCCATGAGAGGGCTTTAGGATTTAGGTTTCAGGGTGTTGGGCTCGGGGTTTCACCAACCAGTCAAACCTTGAACCCAATTAAAACCCAAGTTCTAGAGCCTTCCTAGGCATGGAAACCCTAAACCCTAAACCCCAAAACCCTAAACCTTAAAATCCTAAACCCGAAAAACCCTAAACCGTGAAGAGATTCTTCGGACTTTCGGGCATGGACAGGGCGAGGCTTCACGTCGTCAGGATCTTGAGGCTTCAGTGCTTTCGCTTCCAGGTTCAAGAGCTTCGTGGTAGTTGTGGTGGCCTAGATAATTACGAATACTGCTTTTGGGTGGTTAATTACCAATACTATTTTGGGGTGGTTTAGGGGTTTAGGGTTCAGGGTTTAGGGTTTGGGCTTTAGGGACAGAATTACCAATACTAGTTTGAGGTGGGGGGAGGCTCCTTTGTATATCCACAGCAGAAATCTACCCCAAAAATCTATTAAAATTATAAAGGCCCCTTATATTAGTCATGGTAGAACAGCAGTTCCCGACCGCAGAAAGAAGAAAGATTTCGGGAGCGGCAAGATGCAGCCCCACAACCTTGAGGGTTTAGGGCTTAGGGTTTAGGGCTAGGGTTTAAATCCCACAGCCTGAAACTGGAGCTACAGCCAAAAACGCAGGAAGCCTGTAAACCCAAAGCTATTGACCTGCTGACAGTCCCGAACCCTGCAGGCTTTGGGGTGGCTTTTGTTGTTTTGCTCTCGGTGTCATCAAAGCATCTTTCAGTCGGAGGCATTAGGCGTCAGCGCACGACGATAAAGGCTCTTTGTGAAGTTGGAGCGCTGTTTGCTTGCATTTACTCTCTGCATTCTCTTGAGCAACGATCCAATATGTGTGCTATTCAAGCCCAACCTGCAAAAGCTCCAACTCCGCCGAGAGTCGTAGTACTGCATGGACCGGCAGTCTTTCTCTGACAAGTCCCTGCATCTTGCCAGCCCATTCTTCTCGACGTCGGACTTCTTGCATAGAGCTTGGCAGAACGGAGAGCGGCTGCTTCCTGATGCCGGACTTTTGGTGGAGAGAAACCCTACAGACTGCAGCGTCCGAAATGATCGCACCGCTCTACACAGGCCCTCAAACCACCTCTAGAAGCTAGAACAGGACGACACTTGGGTAAGGACAAGGCAGCCTAACTTATGCTTGGTTTCCCCAGACACGATTTATCCCTTCGCCAGCTTTCTAAAGTAATACGACAGGCCCCTGCAGCTGCAGACCGAATCAGGGGCACGACCTATCTTATTATTATACCGTATTTTGATACAATACGTTACATATTATGAATTTATACTTCGGAAAAACTGAAATAATAACATTTCTATTCTACTATGCTCGACCCGGCGCGACCGGAAGTTTCTGTCCCGACGTCTCTTACCCCTGAACCCTGAACCGTAAGCGCCCCGAAACTGCAGGCTACCCCATCTTCTGGGTAGTTCTCTAAATGAGGGTCCTTGTTCAAGTGTATAAAGAGACCCTAACAGGGACCCTAGAACTACCCATCTAGTTCCCTGGTCCCTCACAGCCGCAACCCGATCGACCCATCACAACAGTTTCAACTCAAGTTTCCAGTTGCGAAATAAGCAAAGCGAGGAATCATTTGCACGGACAGATCTACATTTTGACACCATTTCTCGGCGTTGTCTGAGTCTTGTGAGACGTCGAACCTGGTAAGCTGAAGCAGAATCGTCTACATCTGCCCCTCTGCTGCCTAGCTCGCAACAGCACCACCCCTCGGACCATGCAGATGATTAGTACCGTGAAGGCCTTCTGATGGACACAGCTCTCGAGTATGCTTGCTGTCACCACCCCAAACGGCAACAGAAAGTGACCATAGAGTCATCAGTTTCTCGAACCAGTGGCTCTTGTATCTTTGGAAAGCTCTTATTGTCCTCCATGTCCGGATATCCCCAGAATACAAGCTGGCCATCCTGTCGGACTGCTACGAAAGCCAGTTTCGTGGAGTGGATCTCCTGCACGCTCTGCAGCTGCTCTTGCACGTGCCTGCTGTCGCCACCATATCCTGGCTTGCCCCAGCTTACCACGGTACCATCCTTTCGCAGTGCAGCAAAGGCTTGTGCAGTGGCGTGAATCGCAGTGACATCCTGAAGTTGCTCCTGGACAGAGGTTATGTCGCCACCACAACGTTGATCGCCCCAGCTTGCCACCGTGCCATCTTTACGGAGCGCTGCAAACGCATAACTTGCAGAGTGAATCTCTTGCACTTCTTGGAGCTCCGATTGGACACCTGTGCTGTCAACAGCGTCGCCCCAGCTCACTACAGCACCATCCTTTCGAGTTGCTGCAAAAGCTACTTTGTTGGAATAGATCTGCTGTACATCTTTAAGCTGCTCTTGGACACTTGTGCTGTCACCACCCCTGAGTTTCCCACCCCAGATGACCACAGCACCGTCCTTCCGGAGTGCCGCAAATGCTACATCAGTGGAATGAATCTGCTGCACATCGTAAAGCTGCTTCTGAACAGGCGTGCTATCGCCGCCAAACGTCTGGTCACCCCAGGTTACCACGGTGTCATCATTTCGGATGGCGGCGAAGGACCACTCAGTGGAGTGAAGTGATCGCACGTCATGAAGCTGATCTTGCACGTGCCTGCTGTCACCACCGCATTCCGCATCGCCCCAGCTAACCACGGTCCCATCCTTCCGGATGGCAGCAAACACTACTCGATTAAAGCAGATCTCTCGCACGTCGCAAAGCTGCTTCTGGACATGGTAGCTCGAGCCACCCCTCCTATGTGCGCCCCAGGCTACCACGCTGCGGTCTTTGCAGATTACAGCAAATGCCGACCGATTCGAATGCAGCTCTTGCACGTCCCTGAGTTGCTCCCGGACATCCGTGCTGTCACCCCCACAATGACGGTCGCCCCAGCTCACGACGACACCATCCTTTCGGAAAGCAGCAAAGGCACCATCAGTGGAGTGGATCTCTTGCACGTCATAAAGCTGATCTTGGACCGAGGTGCTGTCACCACCAAACGTCTGGTCACCCCAGCTCACTACAGTACCATCCTTCCGCAGTGCAGCAAAAGCGCCATCGGTAGCATGAACCGATTGCACATCTTGAAGCCGCTCTTGGAGCCCTCTGCTGTCACCACCCGCATCTGATTTGCCCCAGCAAGTAACCACGCCATCATGCTTGAGGAAGGCGCATGCACTTTCAGTCGACACGAGTCTAGGGCGAAGGGATGGCATTGCGGAGCAAGGATCGCACGTCCGCTGCGAATGCTGGATTGCTAGATTCTGCTAGAGCACACAGGACAACAGGCCATCGTCAGCTTCAAATCGCATCATGTATATTTCGCATGAAAATGTGACGCCTAAGAGGGCCATCACGCTCTTTCTAGACATTGCAATATCCGAGCTGGACCACCGCACATTACACAGAGTCTTTGGATTGCGAACTTTTCAACATGGCATGAGCCGAAGTAGCTAGAGCTTATGCAAAAAAAGGCAACACTGGTCTTCGAAGCAGCTCAAAACAACAGAAACCCTTAAAGGAACCTTTAAAAGGAGACCCTATTATAGAACCCTATACTACCACTGAAGGGAACCCTGACAGCGCTTCGGAGTGCTGAGACCCGCCTCCCGCTTCGAGGAATCCCTGGTGCAGCGAGGCGCTGCCGTCAGCCCCCACGGTGGCGCGGAGGCCACCTAAACAGAGAGAGGGTTAGAGGGTTGGAGAAGTAGAGAGATAGCTGGAGAGATAGAGAGAGGGGGAGAGAGAAAGAGAGAGCGAGAGGGAAAGACTGAAAGAGACAGAGAGAAATAGAGAGAGAGGGAGAGAGAGAGAGAGAGATGGAGAGACGGAGAGATAGACAGATAGAGAGAGAGAGCGACATAGTAATGGAAGACAGGTAATCTAAATTTAGGCGATAAACCTCTGTCTACAGGCAGTGAATTCATGACCTGTGGAGAAGTTGAAAAGCGATACCATATCACGCCACGACATGCCCTGCATTCCCCTTCTTATATACTCGTTTGCCCACTCGCTTGCATACATATGCATATACAATTATCTGGCACTGACGGCACAGCCTGGCTGAATGTGGAATACAGAATATTGCATATACATTGACATGTGCATACATACTGCATGCCTCTCCATAACATGCTGATGCTCGGGCTTTCTTGCGCAGGTGGGCTGCATCCTCGTCTGAACCCAAGTGTGTGCTGCCGGCGAAGAGACGTAGTTTCCCACTAAACCAGTAGAAAGGATTTCTGATTGCAGGGCTCAGGTATCCTACGAGTGTTGGGGTTTACAATTTATGTGGGGCTTAGGGTGTCGCCGGTGACCCTCATCCCAGGCAACTCCCAGCCCAGGGGCCCGTTTCTTTGTGGAGCTGCGCCCCCCTGGCCGTGCGGAGATGACTGGATATCGGCTTCCCCTACGCGAGGTTCCCTCGTCTTGGAGTCGGTTTCAGCTCAGAACTCTGTCGGGATATATTCTTCGAGATTTAGAGCTGGTTTTCTAACATGGCTTGTGATTGGGGTACTTCGGGCGGTTTCGGTTTGTTGAGGGTTTAGGACTATTTAGAGCTACATAGTTATGTTTCCTGGTCACTGCTACACAGAACGCCCTCAGATTTAAAGGCCTAAGCTGCTGTTGAAAAGACGGTCAAGCGAGCAAGGAACTGCTGTGACGGACGCCTATAAACCCAAGCCCCGACAGGGGCGGGCAGACGGGTTGCGACTAGGTGGAGTTTCCAGGCTTCCTTGGGGCAACTCCTCCCGGCCTGATCTCAGCCGCACATCTTGTGCTCAAGACGACCACAACCACCAGCCATCTGATGGAACTGTACAGACAAATGCGCAGACTACGGAGTTTCTTCATGGCTGCAGCATCGAAGCCAGAAGGGAGACAAAATGACAGTCAACCATAGTCAACCCATGCGGCAGTGTGATGCCAAGTACAAAAGCTGAGCAATCCCACCCTGCGATCTGACTACGACTTAAGGGTGTTCGCCAGACCCACGCAGATCCAGCCTCAAAGGCGCAGCTTTTGCATGACACGCATTCAGCTAGCAGCTAGCCGTGCCAAGAACTCCTCTGAACACACATCTTTCGTCGCTGCTCTTTCAAAGCGTCTCGAGGTTCACCAGGAAAGAGAGCCGTGCAACTGCCATGCTTTCTCGCACGCTCTCGCCCTACGATCGCCGACACCGCAACGCTCAGAAAAGAACCCAATCGATTGGCATCTCCGTCGCCGGAGCGCTTTGACGTAGAACTGGGTACAGCCTCTTGCGCGGCTTCGCGCAGTTGTGCATCGGGAGCTTCCACAATATGGAACGTGGTCCAGGCGGTTGCCGCGACCGTGGACAGGGGACTGCAACAAAGAACTTGGAATCACCTTCTCACATCCTCTCAGACAGTGTCAACGACGGCCTTGAACACAAGAGCAGGATCGATGCCCTCCATGCTGTACCTTCACCCCGCGAAGATGCTCAAACATTGCAACCCTACAGTTTTTTATGCGAAAACATAGATAAAAAGAGAGATCACGACACCGACAGTGACTCATATAGCGCCTCCTAGGTGCCCCTGCTCCCCGACCTCGCAGGTCCACACCTCGGCCCTGCCCTCCGCCACGCGCTCCACCAGGTAGTCGATCCGAACCGAAACCGTCGGCTCGGCCGACTGGGCCAGCAGCCAAAGATGCCAGAGACGGGAGAGACGCCTCATCTGCACCATGGCATCCTCGAAGGCGGTTCTGTCATTTGAGAGCCACTTCAAAGGCTCCTCCTCCAACCCCGGCCCCAGCTGGCCCTGGCCCTGGCCCTGGCTCGCCTCTTTGGCGCTCTTCTCGTAGTCTCGGACATAGCCATGGCAGTCAATCCTCGCAAACCTCGTGAACAGGGCTTCCACGACCTCGCCGTTCAGAACGAAGCACCGCGCCTCCAGGTGCACCGTGCGCACGCGCTCCTGGACGTAAACGCAGTCGTTGGTGTAGTTCGGCTGGGTCACCAAGCTGTACATGGCCTCGGCCAGGGTTTCGGGCTTCACCATCCTCACATCTGCAGCCTCGTAGCTGTAGCCCAGCTTCACCACCAGCTCGGCCTCCCCTTCGCTCCAATCCGAATGCGTCGCCTTCCAAGCCTCCCGCCGGGCTCGCTGCAGCACCCGGAGGGCACTCAAGGCCATCAAAGCGGCCTTCGGGGGGTCCACAAGCACCAAAGCTTTGGAGACCCGGGTGGTCACCGGAATTTGGAACTGCCAAGAGCTGCAAAGTTGTGAGATCCAGTCCTTCGAGGTCAAAAGCTTCCAAAGCTGCACGGGATGCGGCCACCTCGTCGGAATGCCCGAGGCCTCCATGCGACTTACCAAGGCGTAGAAGGGCTCTGCAGTGACGTAAGCCGCTGCTGTGGGCAACTTCTCACCATAGCTTTGGTATCCCTGGATGGGCCATAAGAAGTAAAGGGCACACACAGAACGACCCCGGCAGAGCGACGCGAGGAATTCAGGTGAGATTCCTGCAAACTCATCACTATGCTGAATGAAGACCGTCAAGACCTCGTAGTCACACTGATATTTGGGAATCACAGCGTCTTGAAAAAACTTCTGAATGAAACGGTTCGACACGGTTGAACCTTCCGATTCCCCCCAAGAGTGGGAGTCATACTGCACCCCGATCTTTGCAGCACCCCACTGGAACACGATAAAGGAAACGGCAACTTCGCACCCACCGACTGCCATTTCAGTTCCGCAGCGTGGGTACAGCACGTTGGAATTCCAGTTGCACGTCTTCGGAATCTTCCATGCATCTGCCGATCGCCTCCGCACCATGCGTGCTCCGACTTCGTGAACCAGCGCATGAGGGTCCGTGGTGACCTCGATGTGGTCGCCGGTGGCCCAGTCATACCACTGGCGTAGCTCCCAGCGGCAGCGGACCTCCTGCTCATCAGCCTCTGAAGCCTCCGTGGCCTCCACCACGACGGCAGGCAGCCAGCGCTGGGTCCAGCCAATGCGCGGCCTATTGTTGCCCAAAATCGGAGCCTCGGGCTTTTTGCTGGAAAATCTTCGGCAACTTTGCTTTAACAGGGTATCGAAGATATGAATAATGAAATACAAAAAGAGGAGGCCTTGGCCCTCGCCCTTCTCGAAGGGGGCCCCCCTTCAGAAGTAAAACTCAGGCTCCCGCGGCACAGAGGATCCAGCGATCCCCGATCATGTCCACCCGCTCACGCCCGAGGTCTTCCGGAGCTGGCATCTGGTAAAAGACCTCCACGAGGTCCCCTTTCCGGAAGACATCTTGCGCCATGCGGGACGAGCTTCACGGAGATAGGGTTTAGGGATTTAGGGTTTAGGGATAGGCATCTCCCTTGTGACCCAAATGCAGAGGCGGCAGACGGAACGCAATCAAGCGACTCAAGAAGGAAGGCGCAACACACTTTGAATGCTGGCAGATCCCACCCGGTCCTGCACAACTTTAAAGTTTGCACCCTCCGGAACCCAGACATCCAGCGTGCTGAGCCAGACAACTTTTTGATCCTCGCCCCGGCCATCAGCTCTCCCCTCCTCACAAAGCAGCTGAGACAACCTGCAAAGGCAAACCAGAGACAAGAAACACTATGTATACAGTTTTTTATATACATATAGTTTATACATACATACATACATACATACATACATACATACATGCTTATATGTACATATATATATACATACATATACAGTATACATATATAGACAGTACTTGTAACGCAGCAGAGAATCAGTGAATCCCAGCCTTCTGAAGGGAACAGTCAGATCAATCCTCCTCATCATCGCCACCGCCGCCTCCGCCCTTAGAGGCCATCATCTT